CGTTACCTTAGATTGTAAACTGTCATGGGCAAAACATATAGATTCAATGGTTGTAAAGATGGGGAGAGGTCTGTCCATAATAAAGAGATGCTCTGCTTTTTTGACACCACATTCCAAAAAGCATGTCCTTCAGGCTCTAGTTTTGTCTTATCTTGATTATTGTCCAGTCGTGTGGTCGAGTGCTGCAAGGAAAGACCTAGTTAAGCTGCAGCTGGCCCAGAACAGAGCAGCACGTCTTGCTCTTCATTGTAATCAGAGGGCTGATATAAATACTATGCATGCCAGTCTCTCTTGGCTAAGAGTTGATGAGAGACTCACTGCATCACTTCTTCTTTTTATAAGAAACATTAATGTGTTGAAAATCACAAATAGTTTGCATAGTCAACTTACACACAGCTCTGTCACACACACTCACCCCACCACACATGCCACCGGGGGTCTTTTCACAGTCCCCAGAACAAATTCAAGAAAGCATACAGTATTATATAGAACCATTATTGCATGGAACTCCGTTCCATTTCATATTGCTCAAATGAACAGCAAACCTGCTTTCAAAAAACAGATAAAGCAACACCTCACGGCACAACGCCTCTCCCCTATTTGACCTAGATAATTTGTGTATGTATTGGTATTGATATGTAGGCTACGTGTGCATATTTTTAAAATCTTTTTTATTAATGTAGTTCTGTCCTTGAGCTGTTCTTGTCTATTAATGTTCCCCCTTCTGATAACCAGGTGGCGAATCGCATCTCTGCATGTCTGGCCGACATATCAGTATGGATGACGGATCACCACCTCAAGCTGAACCCTGGCAAGACGGAGCTGCTCTTCCTCCCGGGGAAGGACTGCCCGTTCCATGATCTCGCCATCACGGTTGACAACTCCGTTGTGTCCTCCTCCCAGAGTGCGAAGAGCCTTGGCGTGACCCTGGACAACACCCTGTCGTTCTCCGCCAACATCAAGGCGGTGACCCGATCCTGCAGGTTCATGCTCTACAACATTCGGAGAGTACGACCCTGCCTTACACAGGAAGTGGCACAGGTCCTAATCCAGGCACTTGTCATCTCCCCCTGGATTACTGCAACTCGCTGTTGGCTGGGCTCCCTGCCTGTGCCATTAAACCCCTACAACTCATCCAGAATGCCGCAGCCCGTCTGGTGTTCAACCTTCCCAAGTTCTCTCACGTCACCCCCCTCCTCCGCACACTCCACTGGCTTCCAGTTGAAGCTCGCATCCGTTACAAGACCATGGTGCTTGCCTATGGAGCAGTGAGGGGAACGGCACCTCCGTACCTTCAGGCTCTGATCAGTCCCTACACCCAGGCGAGGGCATTGCGTTCATCCACCTCTGGCCTGCTGGCTCCCCTTCCTCTGCGGAAGCATAGTTCCCGCTCAGCCCAGTCAAAGCTGTTCGCTGCTCTGGCACCCCAATGGTGGAACAAGCTCCCTCACGACGCCAGGACAGCGGAGTCACTCACCACCTTCCGGAGACATTTGAAACCCCACCTCTTTAAGGAACACCTGGGATAGGATAAAGTAATCCTTCTACCCCCCCCCCAAAAAAAAGAAAGTATAATTGTAAAGTGGTTATCCCACTGGCTATAGGGTGAATGCACCAATTTGTAGTCGCTCTGGATAAGAGTGTCTGCTAAATGACGTAAATGTGCCCTTGAGCAAGGCACTTAACCCTAATTGCTCCTGTAAGTCGCTCTGGATAAGAGTGTCTGCTAAATGACTAAAATGTACATGTAAAAATGTATTATGTCATGTTTCATGTTTTGTGTGGACAGCAGCTAATCGGGATCCTAATTAAATAGCAAATACCAATCAACAACCAATTTGACAGAGAATGAAGAATTTTGAAAAGAATAATGGACAAATGTTGCACAATCCAGGTGTGGAAAGTTCTTAGAGACTTACCCAGGAAGACTCACAGCTGTAATCGCTGTCAAAGGTTATTCTAACATGTATTAACTCAGGGGGTTGAATACTTATCTAATCAAGATATTAGTGTTATATTTTTCATTATTCTTTAGATAAATGTTAGCAATTTTCTTCCACTTTGACATTACAGAGTATTTTGTGTAGATTGTTGACAAAAAATAACAATTAAATCAATTTTAATCCCACTTTGTAAAACAACAAAATGTGAAAAAAGTCAAGGGGTATGAATACTTTCTGAAGGCACTGTATGTGGAATATTATCATATTAGTGTCTGACTGTGACAAAATGAATATTTCTCTCCTGCAGAATTCAGTCAGAGAGACTGAAGAGAGTAGACATCCCTTTTAGACATGGATAATCTAAGAAACATTGAATCCGCTAACGTTAGGTGGTAATTAGTGGACATATGTTGAAGCATATACAGTACATGTTACTGCCATTCTCATTCAGCGAGCAGTAAAAGCAACCATAAAAAACAACATGATGTGCATTATAAAATAATAATTTATTTAATGTGGCAATCTGCAGCTGCTACATCTATCTTTGGCCTTATAAATTAATGATATGTACCCATTGATTCTTGAAGAATATAACTTATAAATGCCTCATGAGCTTAGTTCAACTGTCGTATCCCATCAGAACCCCCCCAAAAAAAGCTTATTTTACTCCAATGTTTGTAAACAAAATAAATGTAGCCTCAAAACATGGTTAAATCTATAATGTTGATCTCATGGATGGTCCTTGCATCCATAGCTCAGTCTATGAATTTGAGAGTGGTTACATTTCTCCAGCACCATCACTCAACTTTTTACCAAAACATGGGCGGGAAGTATGCTTTGTTATTGTTGCAACAGCTGATTGTAGCGTTAATCGCAGTAAGAGCAATTTTACTGGGAACAGCTGCTTGGCAATGATGAGTTGCTGGCATCGACAGGAGAAATTCAAAGCCCTTTTATGCTGCACTCAGAATGACAAGAGTGGGAGACAGAGAGTCCTGAGCAGAGCGACCTACAAACAGGCTATAACTAAGACCATAGTACAAGCCACGAATATACTGGTAAACCATTAATAATAACTGACCATAGAGGGAATTGATGAAGCCATTTGAATGCGATAGCCACCACTAAGTACCCAGCATACAGCTGCTTAGTGACTCTGAACTGTACATAATCCACATGTAAACAACCACAGAAGGCGACCAGGGGACTAATGCTGCTCTGGATTCAGTAGCTAGCTAACCATTCAGTACAAGCTCTTTTCATACAGTGTATAAAATAACATTTCATTAAAGGTCATTGTTGCTTTTTCACTCTCACTGGTGTTGTTGCTTGATGTGGAAAAGTAAGAATGATCCTATGGTCACAATTCATAGATGTTTTCCAAAGAAATAAAGTACTTTTTTACGTAATAGAGAATGTTTAGTCTTGACAAAGACAGATGGACAAATTTGTAATGTATTGAAACCTAACCAATGAAGCAAGCAAGCTACCAACAGGGCCTCATAGCATAGGCCCAATTGGATACTGTACCTCTAAAACACTTTGACCTGCCTGAAGTACGTGATTCCTAGATACGGTGTAAATTTCACAAAATTAGGTTTAATTTCAATATTATTTGTCTATGTCTGTCATTTAACTGCTAATAATGATAATGTACTACTATAATACTACTCATGTACTCTTAACATCAGTTTAATCTTTTTTTATAGGATTTGTTCACATCTTCAAGTGTTCAGACAAATTATACAAAAACAAAGATCACATGTTATACACATACAGTACCCAATTGTCATACTTAAGTAAAAGTCACCCAGTAAAGTACTACTTGAGTAAAATTGCAAAAGTATTTGATTTTAAATATACTTAAGAATCCAAAGCAAAAGTATAAATAATTTCAAATTCCTTATATTAGGCAATCCAGACAGCACAATGTTCTTGTTTTTTTAGATTTACGGATACTTAGGGGCACACTCCAACACTCAGACATAATTTACAAATGAAGCATTTGTGTTTAGTGAGTCCACCAAATCAGAGGCAGTAAGGATGAGCAGGGATGTTCTCTTGATAAGTGCGTGAATTGGACCATTTTCCTGTACTTTTGTATGTATGGAGTAAAAAGTATATTATTTTCTTTAGGACTGTAGCAGAGTAAAAGTAAAAGTAGTCAAAAAAATCAATAGTAAAGTACAGATACCCCAAAAAACTACTTAAGTAGTACTTTAAAGTATTTTTACTTTAGTACTTTACACCACTGCCCAATACATGTAACCCATATTTATGAAACATTAGGACTCACCAATCAATGAGAAACTTCACTGTCTCTCACTCATAAGCTCTGTCAGTCTTGGGGGAAGTGAGGCAACAGCAGTGATCAGGCTTTTCTCCATGTCGAGTCTGTTCCTGTGCTTGGTCTTGATTAGGGTCATGGATGACATTTTTTATTTCACATACTGTAAGTATGAAGAGCCAAAGGGCAGTAGTTCATTCAGTGCATGTTTCCCCAAATCAGGATATTCCTTCTCCACATCACACCAGAACTGTGACAGCACATCACTGGGGCCTAGCTCCCTGCCATCCAGGACATCTATACCAGGCAGTATCAGAGGAAGGAACTAAAAATGGTCAAAGACTCCAGCCACAAAAGTCAGACTGTTCTCTCTGCTACCACACGGCAAGCAGTACCGATGCACCAAGTCTGGAACCAACAGGACCCTGAACAGCTTCTACCTCCAAGACTGCTAAATAGTTAACTAAATAGTTTACCAATAGCTACCCAGATCTCTTTTGATTGTGTGTCGTTGTTGGTACTGTCAGTCATGAAAGGATTATGCACCCAGTCAAGTTTGGCAGACTTGTTTTCAATGTCAGGGAAGTAGGACTATAACTGTGAACTTACTATTTGCAACATAGGACCTCTGTCAACATCGGCTGTAGAAAGGTAGGTGTCAAGCTACTGGAAACAACTTATATCCCCAGCTTCACATTTCCTCTCCCAGAGTTTGATCTACTTCATGAATCCACACTTTGTCATACACGTTTAGAATGTGTGTCATTACCTTGCAGAGTTATATTCAGGTTGTTCAGTTTGCTGAACACATCAGCAAGAATGGCGAGGCAGGCTATACAGTGTGTGTCCACGAACACAGCCACAAGGGGGTGTGAGTGCTCAGACAGAAAATCCCTTCGTCACACAGCTCAAAAAGCCTCTGTAGTGTTTTCCCTCTGGATAGCCAGCTGACATCGGTGTGAAGCAGTAGTTGCTGGTGCTGAGTTCTACTGTCATCACAGAGCCTTCAAACAGTCAGTGATTCAGAGGCCTGCCTGGACTGGATAAAGTTAATCACTTTCAATGCGTCATTCAAAACATGTAACTCAGGACTCATTTTCTTGCTGGCCAATACCTCCCTGTGATTGATAGAGATTCCATTCAATGTCGGGTTTTACCTTCTTTATGAATGGCTTTTTGACTTAGCCGCAAGTAGCAACACAACATATGAAGCCTCCAATGCTTTGGTTGACACTGTAGTCACTTTCTTTCATTTCTCTTGACTTCCCTTAAATTCTGACAGCTTTCAATGGAAACACTCTGCTGTCTTACCCATACAGGAAAGATGCTTGGTACTGAGGTGCCATTGTAAATTAGCTGGTTTCATGCTATTATTTGAGAGCATTGGCTGAGGCGGCTCGTATGTATTGAGGTGAAACCGAAGAGGACATCATTTTCATGAAATTGAGGATATTTTGACTTGTCTACTTTCTTTCTTTTTTCCACGGGTAACTTGAGCTGGAGCTAGCGCTGCTGCTGCTGCTTGGAACAGTGTGTTTCAGCCATTGATCCATAGCTATACTGAACAAAAATATAAACGCAACATGAAACAATTTCAAAGATTTTACTAAGTTACAGTTCATATAAGGAAATCAGTGAATTGAAATAAATTCATTAAGCCCTAATCTATGGATTTCACATTACTGGGAATACAGATATGCATATGTTGGTCACAGATACCTTAAAAAAAGGTAGGGGCGTGGATCAGAAACCCAGTCAGTATCTGGTGTGACCACCATTTGCCTCACACAGCGCAACAGATCTCCTTCGCATAGAGTTGATTTGGCTGTTGATTATGGCTTGTGGAATGTTGTCCCACTCCTCTTTAATGGCTGTTCGAAGTTGCTGTATATTGGAGGGAACTGGAACACGCTGTCATACATGTCAATCCAGAGCATCCCAAACATGCTCAATGGGTGAAATGTCTGGTGATTATGCAGGCCATGGAAGAACTGGAACATTTTCAACTTTCAGGAATTGTGTACAGATCCTTGCGGTCAAGGCGGCGGATGAATGGCATGACAATGGGCCTCAGGATCTCTCTGTGCATTCAAATTGCCATAGACAAATTGCAATTGTGTTCATTGTCCGTAGCTTATGCCTGCCCATACCATAACCCCACTGCCACCATGGGGCACTCTGTTCACAATGTTGACATCAGCAAACCGCTCACCCACACAATACCATACACGTGGTCTGCGGTTGTTAGGCCAGTTTTACATACTGCCAAATTCTCTAAAACGACATTGGAGGTGGCTTATGGTCGAGAAATGAACATTAAATTATCTGGTGGATATTCTTGCAGTCAGCATGCCAATTGCACGCTCCCTCAAAACTTGAGACATCTATGGCATTGTGTTGTGTGACAAAACTGCACATTTTAGAGTGGCTTTTTGTTGTCCCCAGCACAAGGTGCACCTGTGTAATGATCATGCTGTTTAATCAGCTTCTTGATATGACACACCTGTCAGGTGGATGGATTGTCTTGGCAAAGGAGAAATGCTCACTAACAGGAATGTAAACACATTTGTGCACAACATTTTTGAGAAATACGCTTTTTGTGCTTATGGAACATTTCTGGGATCTTTTTCAGCTCATGAAACATGGGACCAACACTTTATATGTTGAGTTTATATTTTTGTTCAGTGTAGTTTCTATTCAAAGCTGGCTGTTAGCTGAAATGGTGAGCAGAGGATCATGTGCACTTGGCACGAGCATGGGATCAACGGGCAGGCAGAGGCCAGGGAGACAAAGCAATGCGCAAGCACCAAAACTAAAGTAAAAAAGTAGGCCTATAAATGTAAAAAAAACTAGAGATTTCACACCAGTGACCTCAGTAAATGTTTTCCTGCCTATTAAGAGTGAAATAACTTGAACATATTTTCATTTCATACATTTTTTAAATATATTTTTTTGCACATGAAAATCTTTCCACATTAATCATATTGTAAGGATTAAATCCAACTAAATCCCAACTGTTATGGCAGTTTCAGTTTGAAGTGCATCAGATGTTCCGAAAAAGTTCCTATAGACGGGTTAGCTCTCAATGTCATGAAAACGATGGCCGTGCTTCAAAGGGGCAGAAGTCCATGTGTTGTTATGGTTCTGGATGGCCAGATAGCTAGCAACAATGTCAAGAAACTGCCATGTGGTGAATCGTAAGTGGCTCTTTTCAGCTCGTTTGATCTTATTCTTGATACCATGTCTTGTTTTGAGGTGTTTTGACTGATGTCACGTCTATGCTAATATGGCAAAAAACATTGCTAGCTAGCTAGCCAAAAACTGTAACTATGTATTTGAGAGACAAGTGCTCGTTGTGCAACTTTATTTATGTTTTCAATAAACATTGGAGACTAAATATAGTTATATATTATACATGTTATCAACAATCGAAGCTAACTCGTCTGTTTTGCCCCATAGTTGCGCACACATCGGTTGTTTTACCCCATAGTTGCGCACCTGCGAGATGGCACTGTCGAGCAAGATGAAACCTCATCGAGAGTGCAGAGGCCGGGTTCCATGAACAGAGGATAGTTCCGCGACCACACAGACCAGTCGAAACCGCAGAAATTTGGTCGAGAGTAGCAGAAGATGGGGTCCCGCGAGCACACAGGCCAGTCGAGCAAGTACTGAATCGAGCACACAGGCAGCGGAGGGCACACAAATGACTTTGAGCGAGCAGAATATCATTGCTGCACGCAAAATATAAATTAGACAGCAGAGATTGGTGTTTTGTTTTGCAGAGATACTTACTACCTGTCAAGACTCTGCACCGGTACCCCCCTGTATATAGCCTCCCTACTGTTATTCTATTTTACTTCTGCTCTTTTTTTCTCAACACTTTTTGGTTGTTTTATAATTATTTTTTATAAAAAAATTAATGCATTGTTGGTTAAGGGCTGTAAGTAAGCATTTCACGGTAATGTCTACACCTGTTGTATTCAGCGCATGTGGCAAATAAAATTTGATTTGATTTTATATACATTTGATCCTTACATGGATTTCTCCTATCACTCCCAAAAATCTTGCTCTCGCAACTGCAATCTTTTACTATCATTTTATTACAGGTGAAAATTCTAGCCAATGAGCATAGCCAGTAGCATTCTACTGAAACGCAATTCGTCAGGTTTCTGGACAAATCACGACTTGACTGCTCTCTAACTGGATTTTGACAGTGAAAGGCAAGATGATGGTGGCGAAGTAGGGACAATGGCCGACAATAAGCGTTGTAGTTTTTGAGTTGAGAACCTGTCCAACCAACTATGACTTTAATATTGAAATGTAAGTAGCTAAGTAGTTATTTGGTCTTCTGTTATTAAAGCAGGTTATTGATTAGACAAGCTAGGTTAGTGTCAGCTAGCTAGCTAGCTAGTTCACTAGCTAAAGTTTAACCACATATAAATGCTACCAGTATATTTGGTTTAACCAAGAACATTGTAGCTAGCTAGCTAGCTAGCTAAGTTAACGAGGGGGCTGTAATGAAGGAGGGCTTGGAAGACCATCATGACTTGGAGGGAGTAGCGGAGGAGGGAAGGGCAGGGTGAGAAGAACAGACAGGGAAGGCCCTCACTGGGGAAGAGGCCATTGATTGAGATGGGGTGAGGGGGAGCCAAGAGAGATCAAACACCAAACTAAATAGCCAATATTATAAACTGCTAACTGCATACTTTGAGACACAGTCTATTTGAAATACAGATTTGGTTACTTTTACTCTGGCAGTTTTTGTGCAGTTACAATAAAAGAGAATTACCTCTAACCACCTCTCTCTCCATGCAGGCCCACTTTCACATGTGGTGAGGAAGTTGTTCTCTGATTCGCTGACAGAGATAGGAGAAGGAGGTACAGGAGTCCACTCTGTTCCAAGTACCTTGGCCCTCCACTATGCACAGCACTCTGTGGACTTCCTGCAGGTAACCATGACTTCCATCAATCAACCCCGTAACGTAATCATTAGTGGTACTAAGAGTTCCTCTAATTGCTTTGACACTGTTTGGAGGCATTGTTTATTAAGTCATTTGTCACGTAGAGAGGATGACATGTTATTGACATTGACCAACTGCTGTCTATTGGTTAGAAAGATGATTCTATAAAGACGATCGTTCTATAGTGAATGTGTACACGTAGGTTAGATAAGAGATGAAGTGAATACCTATAGGAGGATGGCTCTTCACGACAAGGGTTGGACATGAAATGACAGCAGGCTGTTGAATACTGAGCCATGCTGACTGACGAGTGGTGTGGATTGGTATAGCTAGGCTCAGTCCCACATAGTATGTTATCACTTATTTGGCTAAACGATTATTCATAGTTGCTTCTTTTGATACAGCAGCAGTATTAAAATGGACTCTTACCTTGAATGCAACACTAAGATGTTAAAACTTTTAAACTCCAATTGAATGCCATTTCCTGACATCATATTTCTACTCTCTCTCTCTCACTGCAGTTGTTCTCAGGAGACGGGTCAGTGTGTGTGTAGAGAACATATGTTTGACAAGGTGGAGTAAGGCTTCTACTTCATTGACCTGGACCACTACACCTACACCTACGAGGCAGAGGACCCCGACTTTCTTCTAAGGATTTTGGGGTAATGGGTGTTCATTAACTCATCTTTTACCTAACAAATCAGCAAATACACTGAGTATACAAAACATTAGGCTCTTTCCATGACATAGACTGACCAGGTGAAACCAGGTGAAAGCTATGATCCCTTATTGATGTCACTTTTTAAATCCACTTCAATCAGTGTAGATAAAGGGGAAGAGACAGCTTAAAGAAGGCTTTTTAAGCCTTGAAACAATTGAGACATGGATTGTGTATGTGTGCCATTCAGAGGGTGAATAGACAAAAGATTTAAGTGCCTTTGAACAGGTAGTCAGTGCTTAATTTGTCAATCGGGAGATGCCGGAACAAAAAGTGAGCACGAGAGGCGGGTGACCTAGGGAGTTCTGAGGTACCGG